CCCACTGATAGGATTGAACCCTGGTTGAATTTGAATCAATCTGTATATGAATGTGCAGGCATCAATCAAAAAACAAGAAAAGGAACATTTAAGAAACTAATTTTTTTCTTCGAATAAACGCAGGATAAAAGGATAGGAGGAATAGTGAAGGAGGAGGAGAGTTAAGATACTGATTTCTGTTTTCCCAATTAATCTTTCATGACAAATAAGTCTGGAATTTCAAGTAATCGCTTACTTTTTTTCAGATTGAAAAATTAACCTGCATTTAAACCTAAGTTTTCAAGGGAAGAATAGCAAAGCTTGGGATTTACTTTAAGAATATTTGCTTTCATTTATTAGGAGAATTAAAGTTTCAGTTTCAAATTTTCAGCTGTTTTAGTTAATCTTTTCTTGCATGTGGGGAGAAGGGCGTCGACTGAGACGATAGTGTTGCATCATGGATCCCCCGCTGCTGAGTTGAAAGTGGGTTACAAAATTCACTTGCTTCTGGACACACACACGCGCACATACACGCACATAGAAATGCTTTTGACATTATGGGGTTTTGCATTCGCGAAGGTTCAAAAACGCTTAAAAACAGATAGGTTTTTACCCTGTTGTTCATTTAGTAAAAAAAAAAATAAACAATAGCAGGTTAATATGAGTTCTGGACTCGAACTTTTGACACAGATTATTGAAATCTGAATTTGTTTCACTGACACAGAGTCTCAAAGTATTTTTCAGACCGCCGTATGTATTTTAGTTTTAGTATGCGTTTTGTGCTGTGCAACAGCTGCACAAATCGCATACTGTCACGGAATTGTCTGTGTGTGTTCGATGCATCTTGTCCGGAACTTTCAATTCGGGCACCACAAAAGGTAGAAAGTGAAAATTTGAGGGAGTATTCCCTGCCGAAATTTAATTTCAGCCTTCCCCTACCCTTGGGTGCTGCGTATGACCTCGTGAATGTTCTGACGGAGAAAATTATTATCTCGGGAACTGTGAAAGCTAAGAGTATTGGCCCCTGCTCAAGTACGATCTCACAAGTTTAAAATCAGCCTTTCCGCACACACGCGTATCATGTAAGGCCTTGTGACGGGAACCATAAAAGCTGGGAGGCTGGAAATTTTAAGGGGGATGTTTTACGCCTATGCAGGGACATCACAAACTCAAATTTAGTTCCCAGGTATACCGAAGTTTCACTTGTGATCATGTAAAAGCTTTGACGCGAAAACCGTTCGAAAGCTATAAAATTAGGAAGTTGAAATTTTGGAACAGTGTTCACCATCCAAACTTTCAGATTCGGCTTTCACATATCGGTACGTAAAATTTTTCATGAGAAGTTTCACAAGTTCGAGGTTAGACAATATTTGTTAAAAAAATATTAAAATTATTTTAGCACAGAACAAAGTGCAAAGCAGTGAAAATCATTACAAGCAAAAGTCCGCTGGACGGGACCGCGCAAATCGCATAATCGTGCGGGCTGCCCTGGTGCACGCCGCTATTTAATTATTTTCATGAGAATGGCGTTTCGGAGTACAAACCTCCCGTTCATCTGGTTTGGCGCCACATTCCAATTCCCTCTGCTAGCCGGATTAAAACTAGTCGCGAGCTGGATCTGGCCTGCGGGCTGCCGGATGCCAACCTGTGATGTACACTAAGAAAACTTAGAATATCAAGACCTCCCAGACAGTCCGTGTGGATATTTCATGTTGACGATGTTGCAAAAAATGCCTCACGCCGAGCGCAGCAGCAATGCCAGGCCCCTCAGTCCTGAACTGGTATTCCTCTAGTTAAAACCTACGACCTTTTCGATTGTATGTGCTCCATCTCTTCGGAGAACTCCTCGAGATGACGCTCGCCAGCTGCAAGCGCGGTAAGCCGCATATCTGTTCATCGAATTTCACATTCTCGCGTTTTCCTGCGCACCACTGCTTTTTCCGCTGCGGTCAATGTTTGCTGTTCTGTTTTCACCAGTAACTGCGTTCGAAATAACGCCTGCGCGACAGAGATAGCGGTACAAATACTTTCATGTGTTTTGAAAATATAATAAATAGCGACGCGCACCAGACTAGCCGGTGCGATCATGCGTTTTGTGCAATTCGCCCACCGAACGACTGCCTGTTAATGATTTCCGCTGTTTTGTACTTTAGTCTGTGCAAAAATAGTTGAAACGTTGAAAAATAGTTAAAAACTTCACGCGCCGGCACATGAAATCTCACGCACGAGCACTATTGCAAAGCTGCAGCTTCTTGGCTTTCATGGTTCCTGAGATAATAATTTACCAACAAAAACTTTCTCTGACCCGTAGGTAATACCCGAAAGCGCCGGAACGTTGAATTTGAGTTTGCAAGGTCGTACGTAGGGTCATTACCCTAAAATTTCAGCTTCGTAGATTTTGTGGCTCTCGGAATAATAATTTACCCACCAAAATTTTCACGGGGTCGCTCATGTTACTCGCGGGTAAGAGAAGGCTCATCTTAAATTTCCTGGGTTGCATGTGGACAGGTAATACGCCTACAAAATCCCCGTGGTTCCTGAGATAATAATTTCGAAACTTTTACGGGCCGTACATGTTACCCGCGCGCGTTGGAAGGCTGAATTTAAATTTTCTGGGTAGTACGTGGGCAGGGACCTGTTCGCGAAATTTCAGCGTTTTAGCTTCCGCGGTTTCCGTGGTAATAATTTTACCCGCCCAAACTTTGCGGAGCCGCACCTATTACCCGCGTAAAGGGGAGGCTGAATTTAAATTTTCTAGGTTGTACGTAGGCAGCGGAATACCGATAAAGTTTTAGCTCCGTAATTTTTGTGGTTCCCGAATTAAAAGTTGCTGCTGCGGACACACACACACACACACACACACACACACACATACACACAGACGACCCGGTGACAATATGCGCTTTGTACTATTGTCAAATAGCATAAAAATGTGCACATTTTTTGTGTTATGAATATTAAAATAAAACACAAATAATATTTTTGATCGAGATGAGCAAACCAAATACATCACTTATATGACATTGTCTTTAAACTGATTATACGAATCGTCTTGAAATCCTTCGTGTTATTATACATATCCTGTGCATGCTTGCATTCAATGAGCATGTATTAATTTAATTAAATTCGATTTTTTTAGCGCGATTTCTGCCTGTGATACAATTTAAGTTATCAGATATTGGTGAAGGCATTGCTGAAGTTCAGGTATTTGTTCAATTTATAGTATTGCCAACAACTGTAGAACAATAGTACCTTTTTGAGCTTTCCCAGAAAATTCTTATGTTTACCTCAAGGATTTGCAAATTGTTTATTTTTCCTCGAAACAGCTCGACATTTCATTACATACCTGTTTAATCTCAGTAAATACAACTTCACAGAAGCGAAGCAACACAAGCAGCTAATTGGATGAAGCTCACCACATACGCAAAAAGTCGAATATCCTAGGATTTACACTGTCTTTAGTTTTTGCTTTTCAGACTGGCACGGTGTTTTATCCCTCGTACGTAGAGCTTCCACTCTATGACTACTTGAGTCCGTTTTTGCTTTAAATCTGGTAAAATACTTCTGAATGAATCTGTGATTTTTATAATTTAATCAATTTGTGCCTTTTTGGTCTAAGGAAGAACAACGATTATGGTTCGTTGACTACGTTATTATGATTTTAACCCACTAATTTTTTTTCTGCCCTTGATTAAGGTGAAAGAATGGCATGTGAAAGAAGGCGATCGTGTAGAACAATTCGATAATATCTGCGAAGTGCAAAGCGATAAAGCTTCGGTGACAATCACAAGCCGCTACGATGGTGTCGTCAAGAAATTGTAAGTCAGCTTTAATGTTTCACTGGAGAAATTTGAACTAAGTTTCTTTGTGCATGAGCGGAAGATTTTGAATTCGTCTTCGGTACACGCCTAGGTCCCCGCGATATGCGTATGTAGAATTCCAATTTTGGATGGTTTTGGCATTTTACTTCACAATCAGACTAAGCAAGAAGCCGCACTTTCATAAGGATATTTACTATCCACCTGCAAGCCATTAACCGTAAAATGGGCTTTTTCTTTCGCAACTGCCATGTGCATTTCAGCGTCAAATAATCAAGCTGTAACACTTTTGTCACCTTTCTCTCTCAGTAAATAAGCGGCCAAGAAAGCAGGAATTTTCATAAATGCCTAAATGTCGCCGCAAATACGGCGAACTTGAGAGTGCGTTTTGCCGACAAAGCACTCATAATAACAGCAGCCATACATGCTGGAGGTTAATATTTCATTTGGTCCCATAATGCAGCAGTGTCGCCCAAGACGGATGTTGCGAATCTGTCTTGACAAGGAAACTAAAGTGGCCACAGTCCCCACTCGGATTCATCAAACTTCCTAAGTTCTCATTCAGTTGGTTTGGATGGCAGTCCTTGCGTTAACAGCTGTTTCGGGGTATTTTAAGTAGAAAGCGCAGTCTATGCAGCCGGCAACTTTTCCGCTTCCGTGGCTTTTTGCCCATTGCTATATCGTCAGCAGATCAGACAGTTGATGGTTTTTCGTTTGTGTCATTTCCTGAAGGGATTATCAGCTGAAGCGTTTGGCTAGGTTTTCACTATTATTTTGAGATATCCTTAGTATTTGTTGAACATCACCAACTTTCTTGGAGTTTGCTGTCGCAGGCCATGACGAAGTGTTCTACCAATTACTCACTTACACCAAAATGCTAGTAAAATTTCAGGCATTACAACGTGGAGGACATTGCAAAAGTGGGTTTACCGCTCGTGGATATCGAAGTTGAAGGCGAAGCTGAAGATGTCAGTTTCGGTATGGGGCATGATTTTTTTTGGCTAGTGATTCTGCTGTAAAATCGTTCTGTTTTCATTGCTTAAATTCATTATTGCTTGTTTTGACGTTTCCGCCTTGATACTCGCTCATGGAACGGCGCATGACAGATGTCAACAAGTTGCAGTGCAACTCAGTTGAGGTTCTACGATTTCGGTCTGGTGTGATTTGGCCATATGTTAAAGTTGAAAGGCAGCAGCTGAACAATACGGATTATCAAATGATGCCGTGGATCTTTTCTGCATTTGTTGAGAGAACAATGCAAGCAAAATATTCGTCTTTTTGCTACTATTGGAAAATTTTCAGGCACAAAAGAAGACAAGTCTGCTGAAGAACCAAAAATTGAAAGTGGAAAAACCAGCGAGGAAGAATTAACTGAAAAAGACACCGAGGAGAAGAAAGTTCTCGCAACACCTGTTGTCCGACATTTTGCAAAGGAGCACGGGGTACCGTTCTTGCTATTTTTACTGATGTCGTTACAACATATACCTATTTTTATGCGTTTTTGCTATGCAACGCTATAGCGCAGATAGTAAGCAAGAACGCATATTGTCAAAATGTCGTCCGTGTATTTGTGTTGTTCGGAAGAGAATGAACTTTGCCACCAAATTTCAACTCAACCAAATTGCACCATAAACATGGCTTTCGTACAATCTTGTTGGTCTATTATTTCAACTCAGCTGCCAGGAAAGCTAGGAAGCTGAAATTTTTGTTTGGTCGTATTCGCACCCCATGTGTCAATCTCCCGTTTCAATTTCTTCGCTCATTCGCGTCTAGATCCCCTATAAGGAGCTCCGAAAAAGTGCAAAAATTTCTTTGACGGGAAACGGTTTCGCAATAGAAAGGTGAAACTTTGCTTCTTTATGTATATGCGACGAAAATAGAAAAGCGAAACTTTGCTTTTCTGTGCACGTGTACGAGCTAAAGATTTCGAATTCTGCTGTCACGCACGCTTATACCGCGCGTACGGTCATGCCAGAGTATGTATTTGGCACTGTGTTAACTCGAAAACTAGGTAGAAAACAGCAGCTGAATTTTTGTCGAAATATTTGTTGTCCAAGTGGAAAATTGTTTACTTAAATTGAGTTCCGGTTCGCACTTGCGCCACGATTTAGGTCACTTCAAAGATATTTGTGGCGAAGTGGCTGTTTCGCTTACCAGACAAGCTGCGAAGCTGAGGTTATGCAAGGGTATTCTGTGTACACGTTTGGTCTTAATTCAGCTTTGAGGTGAAATTCCGTGCACGCAGACACGATAAATAATTATTTTTTTCCGTCAACTCAAAAGCGAGTGCATTTTTCAGATTCCGTAACCCTCTTCCAACTTGCTTCAGATTTGCATTTTTTCAATTAACAAACGTTCTCCGAAAAAAGGGCCGGTCGTCATGTAAAAAACTGATAATCATGCACGCAGGAGGTCTATATGGCCCATAGTGCAACACTTCCATCTCAGCCGACGCCCTTTCTCCTCCATACGGGAAGAAGCCAAAACAGAGCCAGTATAAGTCTAATTGTTAAACTACAACGCAGGAATCATTCCTGCTGTTAGCCGTCTGCGAGTTTAGCGCAAAAACGCATCATCGTACTAGGAAACCTGGTGCTTTGCAGTCTGAGTTGATTTTCCCCAGATAAGACTAACAGTACTCTCTGTAGGTGAGTGAGGCACCGCATTTCAGGTTTCACTGAGCGAAGTAACTGGTACTGGCCCTCATGGACGAATTCTGAAAGATGACGTGTTGCGATTTGTTGCACAGAAACCTGGTAAACATGTACATTTTCGCTAAGTTTATTATTTTTATTGGATATCCCATGTTGGCTTTTTTTTGACGTAATTTTGCCCGGTGGCAAGCAAGGCATTTCTGGCAGAATTCAGTATCGGCAGGCATGACGGAAAGAAAGTCGATGTCTCCAGTGGGACAACCAGTCTTCCTACGTTCCGTTGATTCGTTTCGATGGTAAACTGAAATGGAACTTGCAAAGGGGTCAAATCTGTCATAAGCTTGCTTGCATATCCGAAGCTGTTGACAACCGTGCCATCTAGTGGTTGTATTAGCACACACAACAAAGCGCTCAAGTTGATCTTTCATCTCTTTGGCAGTATTCTTTTTTTTTCTTTTCATTGTTTGAGTGTCACTAAAAAGTATTCCTTTTTTTCATTGTATGCGTATCAATTCCTTTTGTCTTCCTGTTATCTGTTATCTTTGCTGTTAGATTCTGATGTAAAGTTTACCAAATTCCGATATATTCTGCATTACAGGTGCAGCATCTGCAACGAAAGCAGTACCTCAGGTATCTGTAGAAGCCATGCCACCACCGGCATCATTCCCGCGTCCATTTGTACCAGCGAAAAAGGTATGTAACAGTTGAAGATTTCCTCATTTTCCTCACTGCTCATTTTTCTGTATTTGTAAATTCAGTTAACATACCTTTTTATTATTTGACGTTGATAACTGCCCTGCTTTTTTTCAGCTCGAACCTCTAAAAGTAGATGAGGTAGTTCCAGTACGCGGCTACACTCGCGCGATGGTGAAAACTATGACCGAAGCACTAAAGATCCCTCATCTTGGATTTTTCGATGAGGTAATATTCGGTTTCTGCTTAACTTCTACATATAATTTCCTCCAATTCCCACCGTTTGCTTCTAAACGCCTTTGAAAAATGGGATTATTGACAGCCTTGCCACCATATGATTGCCGCTGGTGCGTGCTACCACTCGGACTAATTCAAAATGCCTCTATTTCTCGTAGAGAATGAATACGTTGATTCTGACTAGTTACTAAAGGAAGAAGTAAATTTCTGTGATTTGAAAACACTCCAGCTGGTTTTCGTTTGTAAAGAAAAGCAGGTTGGAAGAAAACTGTTATTGTAATTCAAATAATGTTGCTTCGCGAAAAGGTCTTGTTTTGGGAGCTTAGGAAAAACAGGACATTCAAAAATCGTAACCTTAATGTCCTGATATTTTGTGCACCGCTGAATAACCAATCTGTGGATGACGTTTGGAGCAGTGCGAGCAGAGCGAATATTCGATATTGGGTAAACGACATCAGATGTGCTGCGCCATCAATCGTATTTGTTTGCGAGCTTTCCAAGCAGCAATAGCTTTGCTTTGCCGTGGGCCCTTCTTCTTGTGTCGGACAAATTACCGTAATCGCAGTGTTAGAAAAGAAAGGACATGCTTGATTTGCTCCTCACTGGGATGAAACACTTCAAATTCTATGCGTTTTTGCTGTGCAGCGCTATAGCAGCGCTAATAGCTACAGCCAGCAAAAACGCACATTGTCGAGAGGCTGTTTGTGTGTACGTGTGTGTATGTATTCGGAAAGCGAATGCATTTTGTCACCTATTTTCATCTCAGCAACCAGGAAAGCTGTGAGGCTGAAACTTTGGATATATGTTCCTACCCCGTGTGTCATCCTCCCGTTTTAAGATCTTTTTCC